AACACAGCTTTGGCTATAAGGACCTTAGCTGCTGTTGACTTTCAAGAAGATTTAGGTTCACATTTTAAACTGGGACTTAAGGCTTGCCAACCCAAGTTTTGTTCTGATTTAGCTATAACTGGCTTCTAAACGCTGCCAGATAACAGTTAAAATGGTACAAAACTACGTAGGTACCTTAGTCACTGAAGAGCATTTGAAAATTGCATCTGCTGTCTAGAATCCGGCATCCTCAACTCCCAAACAAGCTCTGCTAGTGGCTAAAATGCATGGACTTGTTTATTTACCTTGCAGGTATGAGGAGCAAAATCTTTGGTCATGCTAGAGCTCCACTGGGAATAGCTGAAGGATCATGAGGGATAAAAGTGTCCCGAAGGTACCTTTGCACTCCATGATTCCTAGGGCTGCTAAAAGCTAGTTTTGGGATTCCTCTAAATTATATCAGGCTGCAAAGTCCCATTACCACTAGGGGAATCTCCAGCTGGCCAGATCTGCCAGCAATCTCTCTGCTTTCCACTGCTGGACCAGTACAAAATGGCCAGAGGAGGAACTGAAGCTCTGTTCCTAGTCTAAAAGATGACGACATCCAAAGGAGACATTATCAGTTCCAAAACAATGCAGTGTCAGTGGAGTTTTGACAAATACATTAGGGTCCGGACTTTCACAGAACTCCCATTGAAGTCAATATGAATATTGATAGGTGTCTCCAGAGTGTGTTGTGGTGATCAGTGAGTAAATTTGTACACAAATTTGAAAATGTAATCTGAGAAGTGCTCAGCAGCAGAGCTGTGTCGTATTGATTGAAGTGGCTCTCCTCTGTAATTCCTCATATACTTCTCATGTTATTCACTGGGTTCTGAAATAGTATAAATAACTATCCTTGTTCCTGTCAGGCTGCCATGTTCTGAACATCAATGTCAAGGGTTCCTCCCTCCAAAAAATGTGTTTTAATTATTTTCTCCTACAATTTCCTGCCCTGAAAGTATCTTCTGGCACTTAACATAGTATAGAACAACATAATCTAACCATTAACAACATACAGACCAAAGATGCCCTTTTCTTCCTAGAGCTAAGTAAAGACACAGTTCTGCTGTATGTGGAACCCAACACACAGGAAAGCCATTTCTGGATCTCTACAGCCTGTTGTGAGCCACTGAACACGGCTCTGAGGCAGATTTTTCTAGGGCGGTACAAGGATAAGTCTGAGATAAAGACAGGCTGAAGAAGCAGTGGGATCCGGCTACTACAGCTGCAGATTGCATGGATTTCCTAGCCAATAACCCCATAAGTGGCTGCATGGATGTACAGCACTCTGCCATTGAGTTAGGCAAGAAGATTGTGCTCTTGTGTAGGTCCCTTGAACAATGTTTTCTCGGGTTTTGTTCAGTGACCACAATGTGGACATAGGCTATACAATATAAAACATCCAGACTTCTTTTATCTCTCTCTCTCACTCTTTTATATTGACATCCATTACACCAGTACATGTGTACTTTTCACATAAGATTAATAGCAATAGCAATGTCTAGTGTGTTCCAGGATGCCTCTGTCTCTTTTACCTTTCTTTGCATGGGCTATGTCTTTTATACATATACATTGCCCCATTTAGGTAATAATACCAGTCTAAAGCTTGCCTTCCACTCTCCCACAGCATCAAAAATAAAACTACATTTCTTCTAAGACAGTAACATGGGTTCAGACTTTACTGGCATTGTGAACCAAAAAGACTAAACTTCTAGAATCTGGAACTCTGGGGACCAGAGTTAGCCTAAATATTTTTATGTGGCAATAAGTTCCAAAAAGAAAAATGATTTCAATAAATTTCAGGAACAAAGCAAGCAATATTTACCAGCATTAAAAAACTTTATGCCTGGAAATCATTATTAGGTAGAACAACCAATTTGCAAATCAATTAATCATTACGGTTATGTTCAAAATCTAAGACATTATTGAAATATTTTAAATATATGATAACAAATATGTTTAAAAGAATGCAGGTTCTCATAATTAAATAACAGTACTATAATAGCAATATCAATAATAATGAATCGGTATTAATGTAACACAAGGAATAAAGTTCAATCTTTCTGTCTATGATAAATCTCTCATTGCCAGATTCTGGTATTCCTATTCAGACTGAATTGTGTCTTTCTAGGGCTACATCTAGACTGCAAACCTCTTTCGAAAGAGAGTGTCTAGACTACAGGCAAATTTTTTGAAAATGCAAGTCGCTTTTTCAAAAGAAAGTCTAGACGCTCTCTTTCAAAAAAGCACAGTTGACATTCAATAGCACCTTTTTTCAAAAGAGTACTTTCGAAAAAAGGCATTATTCCTCATAAAATGAGGTTTTCCGCGATCGAAAAAACTGCCACGTTCTTTCAATTTACTTTTGAAAGTACAGGGTAGCAGTCTAGACCCAGGTGAAGTTTTTTTGAAAAAAGGCTACTTTAAAAAAAAAAAAAAAAAACCTGTAGTCTAGACACACCCCTAAGTGAATAGCTCCCACTGGTTTCAGTAAAACTATCTGAGGAGTACTACTCCACATAAATGAGGATGTCAAAATCTGACCTCAAACTCCAATCCACATGTTATAAAACCCCACAACAGAAATATTTTAATTCTGCATGGTCACTTATCTACTGAATCATAAATTACATGTTAAAACTTTAACCACTACCTTGCAAATAAATCAGAAAGTATAAAAACCTTTCCATTAGAGGAATATTTGTATTGTCTAAGGTATACAGACTTTAGCTGACAACTACAAACAATGTGCAATTGTTGCAAAGTCATAAAGTTAATGTAAGGGGACTGTTAGCGCCTTACTAAAACTCAGTGGGAGTTTTTGGTTGGCCAGCTCCCAGTACCAAAAGGGGAATGGTCCATGAGAAATCAGGGCCCTAAGACTGACAGATCGCAGGGGCAATGGGAAGAAGCCAACACGCCAGGTCGGCCTGACTGACAGGTTGGACAGGCCAATGGTGGAATCAGGAGGCCAGGACCCGTCCTCCGTGTGTACTGGGATTTTCTGGGTCTGAGTCAAAGGGGCAGAGAGCTAAGAAGAGTAGCAAGGGGTCCAGGCTGTACTGAGGAGCAGACCTGCAGTGACAGAGCCAGAGGCCCATTCAGCCCACAGAGCACAGACCCTGTGCTAAGAAGCAGACCTGCAGTGACCAGAGTCAGACACTCACAGCCCAAGGGATGCAAGCTGTGCTAAGAGGCAGACCTGCAGCGACAAAGCAAGACACATACAGCCCAAGGAGTAAAAACTGCGCTGAGAGGCAGACCTACAGTAACCAGAGCCAAAGTGGTCAGAAGAGCAACACAAGGAACTGGAGGCTGGCAAAGCAACATAGTCTGCAACTGGGTGTGGTGAGCAGCTGGGACCAGCAAAGAGGGGAAAAGAGGCTCTGGGCAGGGACATGCCACCAGCCAAGAAGCCCTGCAGGCCAGACTTGGAGAGGGATTGTAACTCCAACTGGGAGAGGGGTCCTGCCACCTACAGCTTGAAGTCATGTGGTCACTGCCAGAGCAGGCGTGTCCAACCTGCAGCCTCCCCACAGCACAGCCAGGGCCTGAGAGACAGAGAGTCCTGGGACCTATACGGAACAGACTGTGAACTGTCCTTACAGTCTGCAAACTGCTGTTTGTGATGTCCCCGTGCTACAGAGCGGTGCTATGTGTTCTCTTTTAACCTTTTCATTTTTTCCTTATTCTTTTCTTTTTAATCAGTTGCTATTTAATAAATTGTATTTGCTTTGAACTGTATGTAATAATCACTAGGTCAAGAATGCACCCAGTGTGAAGAGAGCACCCTGGAGTGGGGACACCCTAGCCCCTGCCCTAAATAACTACAAGGTTGGGGATTAAACCCCAGAAAACCTGGGCGCAGCCTTGTTGGGATTTCAAGAACTCTGCTACACAGGAGAGTGGAAGGGGAGCCCTCAGGGTCAGGGAGACCTTTGGGTAAAAAAAGTGGGAGTGGGGACTCAGATCCTTTGGCTGGTCCATTTCACCGGGGTAGTATAGAAGCCAGGAAAGTTCCCCACAATAGCAGGACTATTCCCCCGCTTACATTAACATCTTCATTGTATACTTTTCAGCTAAGACTTTTGTGCATAGAAGCATTTGAGGATTGTCATGGTATAAATCTGGAGGTGTTAAACATTCAGCATTACCATTGCTGGTAGACAATACTCTAGAATAGGTGAACTATATAATAAGTAACAGTGAACTTGTTTAATGTTGACTAAAAGTCCACAAAGATTTTAAGTACTTAACCTCAAGTAAATGCACCTTATAAAGATATCTTCAAATACCATGCTTGAGGCTTGTCTACATGGCAAATTGGTATGCTGTAGTAGATTCACACCCTGGTTTGCTGCACAATAATCCATTGTATAGATCTAACTTTTACTGCTAGACAGGAGGGGATGTCTGAGCAGTAATTTGTTTACTCACAAAATCAGTGGAAACCATAACTTTTAACATAATACAAGGCTTTTTCACATTTAATCTTTAGGTTTTTCTAAATGTCTCCTATTTCTTGAATTTTGAATGTGGAGTTAAGAATGTTCTTTTCTGAGCCATTTTCTTCTAACTCTAATACACACAGCCACTGACAATCATATATCCCTTTTGGCTATGCCAGCAAGACTATATTTGAAATGTCATTGAGTTGCATGTAATTTGCATAGCCATTATCATTTTAGAAACCAAAAACAGAATAGAAAATATTCATAAAGCAATGCTTTTCAGACCGTACTAGTGAGTATAAAAATAACAGGAGTAAATCAGGGCAAAATCTGTGGATATAGTTCCAATCCATTTTTATGGCAGTAGCTATATGAATATTATTAAAGATGTGGATGCTCTCTCCTGATGCAAATTTTACACAATACAAAAATTGTATAGTAATATGTGATATGCTACATCATCTCCCTTATTTTTACTCTCCCACAGTTGTCTTTTCAGAGGGAATATAAAGTATAAAGAATACATACTGTTCCGTTTGCCTTCTTCATCACCCTCCTCCTCATTCTCAGGGTCAATGTCTTCTGCTTGTGTAATCCAATCTAAATATCCCTTCAGATCCTCTTCAAGCTGCTGCTTTTCACGCAGTTTCTGAAAGTCTCCTCGGGCTTTGGCTTTTTCTCTTTCCTTAGAAAATTCCCTATTCAATTCAGATAAAACAGAACAAATATTGATTATAAGACTGCCTGTCATATTTGACCTAGGAATCTAGATTGAAGAATAGATATTGACACAGCAAAATGAACTAAAGAAAATATACAGTAGATTTGAAAAATTCATTCAAAGCAAGACAGTAGTGCTAAAAGTTCATGCTAAATTTCTTTTAAACTACAGTTTTCATAACTGATAACATATACAGTTTATAAAAATGAAGAATTCAATTTACCAAAGAGTACAGTTTCCATGATTTTGGTCTCTACACTCTTTGAAGCCTCAATTGTTGTGAAGTTTAAGTCTAATTTAAAAAATTAAACATAATTCTGTATGGTTGCACCCCAATTTATATTCTAAGGTTTAGCAATGTAGCCCCCAACTAGAGTTTTGAAGTCACATTTGTGCAATGACTATAAACAGAAAGTGGTATGTACTGATGACATACTATTAACTAAACTGAGGGTACTTCAAGAGAGTGCTGCTTCCAGTTCAAAAAGGAGATGCTGGTTTAGACATGCCCTCACCTCTGCTAACTCTGAGGTAGGTGCTTTGCCAATTAAGTGAGTTAGGTTCTTTGTCTATTTCAGTCAAGGACATTTTTAGGATTTACACATATTATTAAACTGGTGTGCCTATCCCCAATGACAACCTGGTAGAGGGGGCAGGATGGTGATTTCACAGTGATGTGATTTCACAATCTTCAGCCACATACTAATAAAATAGTTTTAAAGCAAATTTTAAACTAAGGTCCTATAGACTAACATAGTAAATTCAGAAACTTAAAAAACAGGGAATAGTCTAGCAGCACGTCAAAGACTAACAAAACATGTGGATGGTATCATGGGCTTTTGTGGGCACAATCCTCTTTTTCAGTTCTTTAAGGTGCTGCTAGACTATTTATTGTTTTTTAAGTTTTTCCAGTTACAGACTAACTCGGCTACCAATAAATTAAAAAACTGACAGAATATACCTGGGGTTGGCCAATGCCTTTTAAACAGCTTCATTACCACTAGAATGGCTCTTTCACAGGCTCAGTGTTCTGCTGATAGGTCTGGCAGGGTTTTTCAGTTTTAAGTAAGCAAAGCCACAGACCAGGAATAGGAAGAGGATACCCTACGCAGCTGCATATTCTGCATATCGATAAGGACAGCCTGATATCCGTTCAAGACCTGACTATGCATCACAGACACTGGATCTCCCTTTGGTGGCCTTACTTTCCTTTAGGTTATGTAGAGAGGTTGCTCAAGATTTTGAATCTTTTTTACCTTTGTTCTCTGTGAGAAGGGCTACCAAATCCTGTTGCTCATAGATCAGGATGATGCCCTTTTTCCTGATTGTCCATTTCTTAGAAAAAATAATCTTTCTAACTAGTTCAGCCCTTTGGAATTCTGTTCATATGTTGTGCCTTTGTGTATCATGAGATTGTCTTCAAATGGTATGTGACTCACACTCTGCCCTTATTTATATCAGTACGCAACCACAATGACTTCCAAATACAATACTTTCGCGCAACATGCACTTTGACACTTGGTCCACACAGGTTTTTGAGACACACAGGGTAATATCATGGCTGTAGCCTCATGGTTGCCCTTTGTTAGAGTGTTCAAACATTTTCTAAAGTGTTTAAGTACTAATAGATATGGTATGTGTGTAAAGAACAATAGGTTGCAAATGGATGACAAATTATAGTACTGTCAGTACACGACTTTTGGCAACAAAGCTCAAGTGTGCTCACTTTAAACCTATCATTGGGCCTAATTTTGTCCTCAGATAGGCTAGCAACTCTTCTTTCGGTGTCAATAGTTTTGCCAGGCTACCTGAGGAAGGAATTGGTCGAATAATTTAGAAAGTTGAGACAGGGCACACAAGAAATTTAACACAGTATTCATATAGGAAGCTCCGAAATAACATGGGCTAGATTTCCCCATGTTAGGCTGGCTTACATTTATATAGGTGATTACTACAAAAGAAAATGCCCACTGTTCAGGTTTCACTTTAATGAAATGACATTACAGCGTGGGGAATGACTGAAATTTTAATTTAAGCATTTACAAAAATACTGCATCTACTTTGCATTGGAAACCAAACAAAATAGTTTAAATCAAATGTAGGCATTCAGATTAGATATTTGTGCTTCAGCTCCACTGATCTAATTTATAAAATCTAATAGCAATCAGTATATAGCACAAGAAAAGAAAGAATAGACACCACAAGCAAACAAGTATTGCAAAAGAAATGTCCACCCCAATGATCCCATACTGGTCAATTTTTAATTTTCTTCTTTTCATATTTTTTATTTGAATTGTATCAGTGTGAGAGACAAATGGCACTGGGTACAGTTACAGAGAGTAAGGGCAGGCACTATGCAAATTGTCTCAAACAGCTTTGTTACTGCATTTCACTGTTCCCAGTATGCTAGTTCTGACAGCTCTAAATAAGGATTATGTTATTTAGTAATTTTATGTCTACTGACCATGACAAATAAACTCATTTTTGTCAGAACTAGGATTTGAACCCAAGCCAGCACATTGATACACTGAGGGCCATGTCCTCAAGTACCAACTCAGACCTTGCTCAGACAAAACTTTCATAGATTTCACTCAGAGCAAGGACTTCACGATTGAGCTTGCTGCCATGTATAATCCATAGAGAAGGAAAATGCAATGCAGAGAAATATAATATTAGCTAGCCAATTAACTATTTACGCCTGCCAATCTCTTAGCTAAATTCTAATATTTCCATCCACAGTTCCTTGCAGGAGATGAAAGGCAGGCCAAGAATTGTGATCAGTAAATAAAGAAGCTGGCTTGAGGCTTTGCTTAAAATCCAGCTTTTCATGTGTGGTTATACTTTGAAAAGTGACCTTGAAATGGCATTGTGGGGTTCCTAGTTTCTTGAATCTATAATTTTCCATGTCAAATTTGATCAGTTTACAAGCAAAAAGATGTTTTTCCTAACTGTAAATGTTAACATGGAATCTGATAGTCAAACAGAGCTCTGTTTTCTTTTGTGCATTATCACAAGTAACAAGGATTCAGCAGGGGGAAAACAATTAACACTGCTATTGATGATGAATGTGCATGACAGAAAAGAGTGCAGTTTACTGTCCCGGTATGGTTTTGGCTCTGCAGTGCTAAAAGGAGTAACAGGTAGCAACAACTTATTTTTCTTATTTCTCTATTGGAGATATAACTAGGAATGCACACAAGTAGCAGCAGGAGCATAAGAAGGTTCCTTACACTATCATAAGGAAGAAGTTAAAAAATGGTAGATGTATGTATTTATAAACACACACACATGCACATAAAAACAATCTGGGCATATGCTAGCAGTAAATGCTTTACTGGTAGCCAGTATTTGCAGGAGTAGGCCTTAAGAGACAGCACACTTCAAAAATGAAAGAGCCATTAGGGAATTGCAACATTGCCTTTAACTAGTGCAAATAGAAATCTTCTGCAAATTAGACTGCCCCCTCAGCTACACTAATGTAAGTCTAAAGTAACGCTTCTGAAATCAATAAAGTTGCTAAAAAACTTTACATCAGTGCAAGTTAGAGAAGAATTTGGCTTTAGGTATTTTTAATAGAACACTAATGTAAATCATATAATCATAGGATACTAGAACTGGAAGAGATCTTCAGAGGTCATCAAGTCCAGGTCCCTGCCCTCGCGGCAGGACGAAGCACCATCTAGCTCATCCCTGACAGATGTCTATCCAACTTGCAAGATGTTTATGTTGAGATAAATTTATTGAAAGTTAAGAAAATTAATGATTTTCTGGAAAGAAAAAGGTACACTCATGAGATGGGGCTAAATCTGGGACAGTGGGTTCTTACATAGTGGACCTATGTCCAGTTTGGCAGAGTGGAAGGAATCCCTCCCTCCTAACTGAGTGGCAGAAAGCAGAACAGACAGGGAGACACACCCTGTGCACCCCTGAGGAGGAGAATGTTGGCCAGCGAATTTAGGTAGCCCAGCATCTGATAACCCACATTCCTCCATCCACTTTGGCTACGTCTACATGCAGCCTTCTTCCAGAAAAGCTTATGCAAATGAAACCCGGAGTGGAATATCGCCACGCTTCATTGGCATAATTAATTATCAGCCTTTTTTTGCAAGAGACTTTTGCAGACAGCTCTTTTTTGCACAAAAACCCCCTCTTGCACAAGAGCTGTTCTTCCTGAAAAAACGAGGAAGAACGGCTCTTGCGCAAGAGGGAGTTTTTGTGCAAAAAGGAGCCGTCTACACAGCTTCTTTCTGTGCAAAAGTCTCTTGCAAAAAAAGGCTGATAATTAATTATGCCAATGAAGCGTGGCGATATTCCACTCCGGGTTTCATTTGCATAAGCTTTTCTGGAAGAAGGCTACAGTGTAGATGTAGCATTTGTTACAGAGAGTACCAACTGAGAGCAGCGCTCCCAAAAGCACAGTTAGTGTAGAATCCCCATGGGCACATATCTAAGGCTTCAGCTCTGGTGATAACATTAAAACCACAAGTTTCACAAACAAATACATTATGTTTCTAGATCTCATGGTTGCCAAGAAAGCCTTGTAAACATTATCTGAGTGTAACTAATGTAGACAGCCTGAAACAATAGCTCTGAGAGGTATGAACTGCCTTGTTCATTTTCATGGAGTATTTAGCTCCATTTTCAAAATCTTGGTTGACTGGAGGCTGAAGCATCCCTCACCCTTATAGAATCCAGCTCTATTCCTCATCAGTGATAGTCCACTGAGGGAACTATATTCCAGAGGAGTAGGGGCAAGCCCCTACTGGCCATCAGGTGGGTCTTGTGTAAATGGGTGGCCCCTGACATTGCCACTCCAGAGAGGGGCGTGACTATTGTACTGGGGTATAACCTACTTATAACCTTTACTAGTTTATTGATAAGAAAAATCTGACAAAATATCAGCTGTAATTATTTTAATACTGTTTAAAAACTGAAACTATATACATAAATAAAAAATAGAGTAGAATCTATTTAATT